AATTAGTTTCACTTCAATAATTCAACCAAAAGGGCATATAAATAAATATTACGTCATCGCCTTACATCCTTTAGTTAGGGAAGAGAGGATCTTAAAAGTCAATCCTTGGTTCTACTTGGGTTCTACTGGGTTCTACTATTATTTTGCGCCACTTTGCATTAATTTTGTCTGCATATTGTGTTTTCTTGTAAAGATAAGACAAAGTGCCAGTTTAATGAATTTTCATTTCGTTTTTGGGACGAAATTCAGGCTCAGAGCTACCTAATACCTGCCTTTTCAGCTGGATTTTCAGTGTCAAATTCTTCGTAGAGTATCTCAGACCACATCTCAAGACTCAAGGCCAGTTTCCAAGCAGTGTTGATGTGTTTTGTGGTGTTTTGATTCTGCCTTTTCTCCTAGGGAATGTTGTCATACCTATTACCAACCATTGGACTTACTAATTGATCGTGCTTTTGCAACATAATGAGTATTCTTCCTTACATAGACCACAGCAGATTCTTGACAATTCTAATTAACCAAATCTGTGAAATGCTGAGGTCCATGTGTTCCTAGTCTACCCTTAGCAATGTAAATTCTACCACAAAATGTATTTTGCAGTGGCTAGGAATTGACTGAATTTGGACTGAAATGCCATTTCCCATTATTTTCCATCAGAATTTACCAATTATTTTAATTTTGGGGTAGAGTAACAGCAAATAGAATTTCGGTCAAATTTCGGTCAAATTTTGGCTTGGGATGTTATCGGTCGGTATTCGGTCGGAAATTTTTCCCAAATTTTGATTTCGGTCGGTATCGGTCAGACATTTTTTGGAAAATGACACCACTAACACTGACACCGTCCACCACTGCTGACACTGACACCGTCCGCCACTGCTGACACTGACATCGTCCGCCACTGCTGACACTGACACCATCCGCCACTGCTGACAATGACACCGTCCGCCACTGCTGACACTGACACCGTCCGTCACTGCTGACAACGACACTGACACCGTCCGCCACTGCTGACAACGACACTGACACCGTCCGCCACTGCTGACACTAGACACCATCCGTCACCGCTAACACAGATACTGACATTGACACCATCCGTCACTGCTGACATTGACATCGAATGACAACATCCGTCACCGCTAACACGGATACTGACACTGACACCATCCGTCACTGCTGACACTGACATCAAATGACACCATCCGTCATAACTGACACAGACACCGACACCCTTCGTCCCCAACGACACCGACAATGACACCATCCGCCACCGCTGAAACTGACACTGACAGACATCATCATTCACTGCTGCCAATGACACTGACACCATCCGTCACTGCCCGTTGCCCTATAGTAACTGCCTGCTATTGCTGTTGTTATCAAATCCCACGGAAAGTGGCCTTATCAAAAATATAAAGGTTTTTGGTAATGGGTAATTTACAGAAGGCAGGACAGAATGACATTTCACCACTTATCATCATTTGCAACTTTTATAACAGTATACCTACATCCAAAATCGCAACACTTTGAGATTCATCACATAAAACCTCACCGGAATATTGCCCAGATACCCCTGTTTTCACCCCATTCAGACAGTTCTGGATGGTCTAGATTCCAGCCGCCGCACTGGCAGAGTGCCACAGGCTGTTCGGTTCCAGCGGCGCGACCGCGTCAGCTCGCGGGGTTCACCGCTGAGTCACAGAAACGCCGCGGCGGCGGCAGATATGACACACGGGGCCAGACCGATAGAACAGGGCGGCGCCACACCAGACCAAATCGTGACGAACACACTTCGCTGGAAGGATCTCGAAATTGGAGCAATAGAAAATCACAGCACACACCGTCGCCGAACTAGTCCGAGCATCCCCGTGTTTCTTTCCAATAGGTAGGCATTTGTATAGGACACAAAATAAATTATTATCAACTTCTTTCAAATATATCAGCTGGTGATCAAAGTTACCATGTGAAACTTGATATAAGATTGTTGTCATTTTACCAATTTATAGTGAGCCTCACGAATAGCGTCTTAAAAAAATGCACCGCTAGCTAGTGGACGATAGTAGGGGAGAGTGGGGTAATTTGGCCGCTTTTTTTAGAAAACGATGTAACTAAAAATCGACAACACATTTCTGCATTTTCTCAACGCTGACAGGTGTGGCATACATTTTACTTTCTTGGACAGTTAACTTGAAATGATAGGTTAACTACTTATATTGAAATTGTGACGTATTACAAAGGTCTGCAAAGCGGCCAAATTGCCCCACTAGCAGGGTTATTTGGCCGGGGGCGTGGGGCAATTTGGCCGGTGTTAGTTTGAGGCCCTGATTTTTGTTATAGGCGAGTCAGCTTCACATTCAGCAATGACGTGTGTCCTACGACGCATTTGAAGCATTTTGGAGGTTGACTTAGCCGTGACAGGGGTCGAAAATAGTCAAAATAACGGCTTTAGATGCGATGACAGTTTTTTACGAATAGCTTTTGAAGTAATCAAGCTCGGCCAAAACTAAAAGTACCATCGTAATTCTCTCGTCATTCCGCATCGAAACATGTATGTGTTGACCTCGAGAGGTCAAGGTCAAAGGCTGGCTTCAGGTCACGCTACCTCAGGTCGCTTGACCTCAAGGTTACGTGAGTCCAAGGTCATCATGTATATCATTCGATGCGCCTTGACGAGCTGAACACAATGAGACCATTTGCGCGGCTGTATCTTTTTTATGTAAGTATTTATTAGCAAAAAAGCGTTAGGTAACCTTTGATGACGTCACATGCCCTTACAGCTATCCAATAGGAAATATGGCATCAAGGTAGTCAAAGTTGGTCATGAATTATGTCCTTTATGGTATAATTGACCATGACAACTCGGCCGTCCCAGCATAGTGACTCTGAGCGCACCGGCCAAGTTGCCCCGCTAGTCCCGGCCAAATAACCCCACATTGCCATTCTGAAAATTTTTGTCTTTAAAGTCGTCATGGCTGTACAAAACTAGATGAAATTGCTCTTGGAACCGCTGAGCACCCTCAAAAATGGAGTTATAATGTTGGAATCCGTTAACAGCCCAAATACTACATGTTATACAAATTTTTAAATGGAAGTAAAAGTTATCATTTTCTAACGAAATTCACCTTTTATTAATTTTGAATAAAACTAAGAGGGGGAAAGTTTTGACATTTGTTCTCGAGTTAGTTCTGCCGATGACAAATGAATAGAGACTAAAGTTATTTCATTCACTTTTATCAGCTTTCGTACAGGTGGGGGCGGCCAATTTACACCACCGGCCAAATTACCCCACTCTCCCCTAGGTATAGGTTCCGGCAAAAATTTTATCCTCTTCCTACGACCACACTTCCCGGTTCCTAATCGTTGATACCCGTAAGAAATAACGGTTCTGGTTGCATCCTTGCATTGTACGGTCTTTGACCGCGAAACATGAAGTCGCGAACGAACCTCGGGTCATGGGTCACCGAGCTAAGGCCAGTTTCACACAGATTGTCCACCCGAACGACCGCGTCGCAAAATGAAGGTCTGAAATTTCCATCTCAAAGAGCTGAACCAGACAGTCGACATACTCCAGGCCAAAATGACACAGCACGCCACTGCTGATCAGTTGAGACATGTACACTAACCAGAAATGTAAAAGTGCAAAACCTACCGCTTAATCTCGCGAGACCTGTACCTAAACACTGACCGGGGTTCGTGCCTCGTGGGATAACAGTACGGCTGCTGGCAGCGTTCCTGATCGTTCCAGTTTGGGCAACGGGCATACGGCCGCCGTTTCGGCCGTGACAGTAGTCGCATTGAAAAAGGCGGCCGAGAAGAGGGGCCAGTTGGTGACAAAATTTGCAAAGCGGCTTACGTCCAACGGCTATCCCCTCTCCAGACAGGACCGTGAGACGCTATTGGAAGAGCCCTCTGAGGCTCATTACCTACAAGAGCCTCCAGCGGCTCAGTTCTAAGTGGTCAATGACAGGCCCACATGCTATTCATGCAGGACAACGCGTCAGCTCGTCGCTTTGCCAAGACCCAGCGGTGGTGCGAACCGAACTTGCCGGACTTCTGAAGGAAGGAGGTGTTAGCCGGCTACCACTCGGACCAAACCCTGATCGAGGAGCTTTGGGCTATCGTCCAGCAAGGCCTGGACAAACAGAAGCCGGCGGCCAGCCTCGGCGCCCTGCTGAAACAGCTCAAACAGGCATGGTCCCAAATTAAGCCGCCTGTGCTGCACAAACTGGTTGCCAGTATGCCAAATTGTGTTCATGCGTAAATCCCTGTTCGTGGGGAATATACTGAATGCTGAACAGAAACTCTGCCTCTCATCAAAGGTATAGCAGATGAGAGAGTACATTTTAGAGGACAAAACTTATGCCGGGCCCTGTATCATACGGAATGACATCTAGCGGCGACAGGGTCAACAACAGTTTTGTGCGAAAAAATCCTGCGGAGTGGAGATCGTCCATGGTGCGGTGGGGAAGAGTGCAGCGATGAGGGAACATTTTGTAATTGGTCAGATTATACATATACGAATATGCCTAATGCAGTGCCACGATTTGCAGTCTGGGGGTTAGGCTGAGTTAGTTGGTCATGATTCAAAGTATGCCAATTTAACGACATCTTGATATAGAGGCACTCAGCCAGTGCGGGGTGCGGTGCAGATTCTCCATGGACTATGGAGTGGTGTCAGAGGTGTGGAGTTTGCATGGAGCGGTGCACATCTTAAATAGTACCTACTGTGCTCAACCACAGTAGCGGCGGAACACCTTCAATTAAGGGGGGACACTGGGTCACACACATAGACCACAATAATTTGATCAATCAAATTTTACTTCTATGATGTACCTATCTGATTTGACTCAAAATAAATGGTCAAAATTTATTTTACCATTACTGTCCTTAGAGATAAAAAAATTCAAACCATACCAAGAACCACACTACAGTAAAGTCTTAGCATGCATAGCATCAGTAAAGTCTTATTACTGTACAGTAATAAGACACCTTGATCTCTTGCTTACCTGGGACTGATATAAAGGCTCTGCAGGTTATTAAATTCCCAAAGGAAAGTTAGGTTTCAGCGGCAGAAGCGATACTTTAAAAAAAAAAACTTCCGGGCAGCCCTAAACCTCGTGCGAACAACGGCAGCTCACACAAACGACACAAACAAGCACTGTATATAAATACAAACAATTACAAATCCCATCTTGCAAACCCCTTCCTACACAGGCTAACATATTCGAAGGGGAGTAAAGAAATGTGCCAGCTTTGTGTTGCCTAGCAACCCGGTAAACAGCCAAATTTTGTTAGCAACAATTGGCTTAAAAGTGCTGCGCACTCACAACTGAATATTACTGAACAGTCTCGCCCATGTTCACCTCGCGTTATTATTGTCACATCTGCGCATCTGATTTAGCATTTTGAGTAGGAGCAAGCCGATACTAAATAGAAACTGCGCGTCTATTTATTATACCATTTTAATATAGTTTTGTTTGTTACTTTTCTGGTCAATAACACTTGCAGAAAAAAGAATTTCCACATTTCTGTGAGTTAGATGCATTTTGTGCGGCTAGTAAAAGTGACGCATTTCATACTTTCGTGTTACAAAGAAGCCTCAAAAAGGCAAGCGTGCTAGTCTTATACGTCTTATACACCGCAAAGTGCAGAGGTGGAGTTCTCAGGGGGAAGGGGGGGGGGGTACACGAAAACGAATTATTGCTCTGTAAGTCAATGGTAATGCCTCCAGCCCGGCTTAATCTGCACGGCCTGGAACCCCCCACCCCCTTGAAATTTTGACAGATCTCCACCCCTGGCAAAGTGCCAATGACGATCTGGTCTTCATAGCGAAATACCCCTCCTCAACAGGTTCGAACATCATTAACCAAATTCAGACCCACTGCTCAGCTTCGTCTAGACTGATAGCACATGTCGCGCTAACTCTAACTGATGAGGCCGTGGGCTCAAATAACATATCTCCTCCGCGGCCGCTCATTTTGTTTCCAAAAGCCAGCCTGGAGGTCAAGCCTTTACTGATAGGTTAGGTAGGTAGGCAGGCATATGCTTCGCCCAGGTTTTGACTGCTAATACTTTTAAGAACCGGATAATTTGTTTTATCTAAACTTCGATTGGGGTACCTATATAGCAGAGGTGGAGATCTCGGGGGGGTGGGGGGGGGGGGTCAAGGACCCCCCTGAAAACGAATTGAAAACGAATTACTGTTATGTAAGTCAATGGTACTGCATCCAGCCCGCCTCCATCTGCCCGGCCTGGACCCCCCCCCCCCCTGACATTTTGACAGATCTCCACCCCTGCTATATAGACTTCGGAATGCATCCGGCCGGGCCTCCTAATAGGTACGTTAGACGGGGCCCTCCGCTGAGCTCAACTTTCATGAGCTCAGCTGAGACACAATGGTATTGTCCAGTTCCACTGAGGCACTGATCGGTACACCTTGATATGATGCGTTCAACTGCATGTTTAAATATTGTATTAAGGCTTATACCTGATCGAGCACATGTTCATGAAAGTGGTACGTCATATACCTACTGTCCAGTAATCACATTAGGTACATCACATTCATATGCGTACACAAGTGACCATGTCAAAATGAAGCACTCACTAGTATGCAACCCTAAGGTTCTTGTCTGCCAGGCGGCCAACCTCTCTAAAGAGCTGCCAGCCAAGACACATCATTAGCACAGCTAAGGCGATGGCTTGAATCAAATCGGGTAGCGCCAATTACTCGTAAAATTGGTAAAAAATGTCCGCTAGTAGGTGGCACAATCCCTGCCATAGCGTTCCCTCATTAATCTGAGACGGACACGAACCAGCCTATGGAATGACTAGAGAAAGCAGCCACGATCCAGGAGACTAAAACGATAGCCACAAACTAGCCACGGACTTTTCTCTAGACTCCTAGCGCCCCTGGCGGCGAATGGCATAACTACAGCTACGAGTCCTGCTCGGGCAATAAAGCGCAGCGCAAAGAACTGGACTACACGCGACAGTGCGACACGGAATGGATAGCGCCTAGTCGTCACACTTGGTCATTTGGTCAATGATCTGCATCGAATCACAACTCGCTAACTACTTGATTGCACCGCTTCAATGCGCCAACCTCGAATCACAGGGCATGTGGCAGTAGGACGGCTCAAAAGGGAGCCTGCTCTTATGGTCAGTGGCGCGTCGGAAGGATCGTCGTAAGGCAGTCAGATCAGAAGCACATCCCGACACTGACGTGCTCCAGAATCTCCATATTCATCTCATAAAACCCGTCCGTGACGCGCTCTGCCGTCTCCGAGCCGCTGTCACTCGCAGATGATTGGCTACTGGCCAGTGACGTCATACTGCCGAGGGCCGGCTGGCACCGCCGCGGGCCGGCCAGCAGCGGCGACTCGACCGGACCGCTGGCGGCCAGCCGGGCACCCAGCGCGTCCCCGGCTGGTGGCGGGCGGTCCCCGCCGCCGCCCGGCAGCAGGTGGGCCAGGCGCTGGCGCAGCCGATCCGTGCTGCCCTCCAGCGGCGCCGGCAGACACTTGTGACTCTCCGCACAACGCAGAGAGGGCGCTGAGTGCAGGTAGTGAGCCGCTGAGACCGGCGACTGGCGCGGGCTGGCGGTACCTGAGCGCTGCCACTGCCCTCTGGAGCCGGGCAGACGCTGCAGACTCGCGGCGTGGACCTCTGAGGCCAGCGGCGGCCCCCGGCTCTTTCCGTTCACCATCGAGAGCGGCCGCCGGCCCTCCCCGTCCACAGACTGAGAGGGTGGCCGCCGGCTCCTTACGTCAATGAGCTGGGAGAGCGGCCGCCAGCGGCTCCTCTCGGCGCCCGCCGAGCTGCCGGAGCGCCGCAGCAGCACGCGCAGAGAGCCGAACGACCTCAGCTGCGACCGCTGCGACCGCGGCTCGTCCTCAGGTATTCGCTGCGGCTCGTCCTGAGCGGCTGGCTGCGGCTGGCCGTCCCCCTCCAGCGGCTCGCTCAGCTCGCAGTACCACGTAGACCTTTGTCTCGGCTCGGCAGCAGTCTTTGGAGCCACCTTGGGTACCGCTCCACCTCTCGCCACCGCGGACGAGTCAACGTTCCTCCGCCTGACGTCCCCTTTTGACGACCCTTTTCCGTTGTCCTCGAAGTACCGGCTCAGCCTTAGTGACTTGCTCCTGAAGAGTCTGACAAACTGGCGCAGTTCGGTGCGGCCGCTCTGGCGCAGCTCGCTCAGCCGATGGGTCACTGTCCGGCGCGGCTGCGGCTCCGCCCGACCCGCGGGCGCCTCCAGCGGCGCTCCTCCAGCCATCGACAGCGGACGGGCGCCGTAGTCGAACAGGCTGACGTACTCGACGTTGTCTCGGCTCTCGATGGTGATGGCCGACTGGGGCCGCTGCGCGCGCCGCAGGCCGGTGCGCGGAGAGACGGCGGCCGACGGCTGCTCGTCGGGACCCCGCACCGTGGTCAGCGTGAACTCGTTCCAGCTGACCAGCTCGGGCATATTGTCCTGTTCTGCGGCGAGCTCCGCCGCCCGATCGCCGCCCTCACCGTCACTGGACGCGTCCGGAGGGTCTGCTGCCTCAGCGGCACCCTGCCGGGCGCTCGGAGCTGGAGACGCCTCCCCGCGCCCAGTGTCAGCGGCGGGGGCGGCCGGCGGCGAGTCGCTGCACCCGCCCGCCTCGGCGAGGTACGGGCTCCAGTCGGGCTCTCGCTCGCTGGGAGAGTCGCTGGACGAGGTGGGGCTGCGGCGCACCTCGCGGCGCGGCTTCTCCCAGAGCCGCTGGAAGTGTTTGTGCTGCAGCACCAGCTGCTCCACGATCGTCTGGTCGTCGCGGCGCTGGTGCCCGTTGTCGGCGGCGGCTGGGACGGCAGACGGGGTGGTCGAGGACGCCGAGGTGCACGTGGAAGGGTGTGGTGAGCCGCGACCGCCGCCGGCTGCCTCCTCGAGCTCCTCCTCGTCCAAGTCCGGCAGGAACGTCGAGGCGCGCTCCGCGCCAGCGCAGGGCGAGCAGGGCGGTGTGCTCTTCCCACTCTGCGAGCGCACAGAGAGAGAGAGCGTGACAGTGAGCAGGCACACTGAGCCAGTCAGTCAACGGGAAGGGCACAATGGACCAGTCAGTCGACAGGAGGACACTATGGATCAGTCAGTCAATAGGAGGGGCATAATGGGCCAGTCAGTCAACGGGAAGGGCACAATGGACCAGTCAGTCAACAGGAGGGGCACAATGGATCAGTCAGTCGACAGGAGGGACACAACGGACCTGTCGATCGATATGCGCCGGAGGCACCTCTGACGTCAGGCTGAACAGATTCACTGTGAAAAGAACCTTCAATACTCAACTGAGGTGCAATGCGACAAAGTTTTATACTTGAATAAGTAAGTTTGCGAGATATAAAACGTGTTTACAATCCATCTAACTTTAAACGTGCGCCAGCCAAATGATCAATTCAAAATGACGTGTTAATTTAACGTCGGTATCGACACCAAAACACAAAATCTTTTGAGGTCGTATCGACAAGCGTGGAACGCGCGGCGTGGGCTGCGGATGCTGCGTGGTACTTACAGCGACAGCTGAGCAGTCGTGCTGCTGCTGCTGCTGCTGCTGGTCGGTCGGACCCCAGTCGGGCGGCTGCCCGTGTTGCTGCTGCTGCTGCTGCTGGGCCCGCCGTCGCTGGCGCTGCTGCGCGGCTGTCAGCGGCGGCAGCTGCGGCGGCTGCACGCTGGCGGCGGCCGAGGTGGTCCTCTTCACCGATCGGCGCCTCTCCAGGTACTCGGGTACCGAGTGGGTGCGCCGACTGAGCCGGCGCCGCAGCGCCGCACCTGCGGCCGCCACAGTGTGGGCAGATAGCCGTCAGCCGTGTGTCACGGGGTAAAGGTCAGGCATGGCCTCCCGCCGACTGACGGCGCACGGCGCACGGGCGGATACAGCGCAGAAACGGGACGGGATAAACTCGCGCTACTATAGATTTGACACATTCGGTTCTTGCATGCTGTACCAACTAACAGTTCGAATAATAAGGAGTCACCAAAAGTTACATTTCTAGTCTTTTGTCCCGTTCAGCAACGGATTACGATTAGTATCGACCGGTCCACATATTTAGGTAATAGGTATGCGACCGATGATTATTTGTCATCAGTTTGTCTTTGAACGTGATTATCTGAGGCGTAGCAGCGATAAAGAACGAAAACTTTACATGTCTCGCCCGTGATTCAAGCCGGATCTACATGTTTTGAACGCTTGGTGTGTGATTCAGTGTGTTTGGTGCGTGATTACCGTGTCACGTTTCGTAGACCGTTTGAAGCGATTTAGGACATCATTTTGCCGACATAGTTTTGGCTGATTGTCGTGTTGCCTGGTTGAATCGGAAAAAAACAAACGAACTAACGTAGAACTATGTACTTAATTAAATTACATTTGCCTAACGCTAAATTGCTGAGTGGATCTATCCCGTTTTAAACCGTACCTACGTCACCGTGCGCCTCCTGTCAGGGAAAGGGGGACAGAACCTGACTCAGCATTTAATTAAGGTCCCATTCGGTACACTTATCATTCAGGCACCATGCCGCTAGCCACGTAACGAACGGTTGAACCAAACGTCTGCAAAATAAGAACTATCTTTCGGTCCTTCCATTGCAATGTTCTGAACGATTCGTTAGATGACGTGAGAGTCGAGCGAGGATCCAAAAACGGCAGCTGATGGCAGTCGATGGCCGGAACTACGGTAAAGGCCAAAGCTGTCTCACCGTTCTCCCGGTGCTGCCCGAGCTTCATGACCAGCTCTCGGGCGTGTTTGGGTATGTCTTGTCCGTAGCTCTCCAGTATGGCTCCCTTCAGGCGCAGCGCCCACTGCCGCTTCGACTCGACACTTCGAGCCTGTCGGCCAACAGTGGCAGCAGTGAGACATCAGAGAAGAGCAGTGAACAATTTAACACCCGTGGCCGTTCATTCATCATGCGAGTATTTTGCAGAATGAAATACGACAAACTACATTATGCTACAGCACCTTATTCTAAATGCGTTTATTATAATCATTTGATTCCGACGGAACGATATGATGGCTGTTGGCTCGTCATGACAAAAGTTGTAGGTATATTTGTTCTGGCTCCTCACCTGCAGGGTGTATTGTTCGTGGGGATCGTCAAATGGTAAAACTTGCAGGCTGTCCACCTCCCCCGGTACGCTCTCAATGAGCATCAGGTTCGAACACTGTAACGAACATCGCCGTGAGATGGTTACAACTTACAACGGAACATAATACGATGTTGGTGGAGAGTCACTATCATAACGCTGTCTATCATTTCGAAATCGGCTTACACTTAATAATTGAGGGACCTTTTCTCCGAGCTACCTCAGCCTTTAACTCGGTTGTTTGTGGACGATATTTGTTTATATGTATGCGATATGCTTATCCTTTCATGACGTAGGCATTGGGGGAAATACGTTTATAGAATTACTGTAGCCTGTAGGATATTTTATAACATGGCTATACATATCCATGGTTACAGACCACCAATCCTGCACATACACCCTGCAGCGTTCCTTGACGTGCTCGTCCTATCGCTGTTCCGGCGCATTCAGCGCCACCTGGCGCGGGCCCCTGCCTCCCGTCACCTGCGCCACCTCCCACCCCTCCCCTCCTCCTTCTCCCCCTCACTGGGGGCACCGCCGGCTCACCAGTATGTGCGTCTTGTACACCAGAGTGCCGTCGTCCCGGTTCTTTGTGATGAGCAGCATCTTCTCGAACAGAAACACCTGTCTCGGCACCTTGGCCCGGGGCACGCGGAACGTCTCCTCGGCCACCAGCTCTCCGAACGTGGTCAGGTCCTCGCCCTGTACGAGAGAAGGGAGTCAGATGGGTCAGGTCCTCGCCCTGTAAGTCAGAACAGTCAGATGGGTCAGGTCCTCGCCCTGTAAGACAGAACAGAGTCAGATGGGTCAGGTCCTCACCCTGAGGGACAGGAGGGAGTCAGATGGGTTAGGTCCTCGCCCTGTAAGACAGAAAGGAGTCAGATGGGTCAGGTCCTCACCCTGTAAGACAGAATTGAGTCAGATAGGTCAGGTCCTCGCCCTGAGGGACAGAACGGAGTCAGATGGAATTTTTATCAGGTCCAGGTGGATCAGGGACCTGTTGTCTAAATAGTAAGGTATATATCGAAAACCCATACACATTGCACATGCCGATATGTGCCGTGCATGTATGCAACTCCCAGAAGAATTACCAAATCAGAGAATAATAACGCATTCACTCGCGCCGAACCGGAACCAACCGATATTTGGAGCAAGTGACCGGAATAGTTGAGTGCGCAGCACTGGCGCCGAGGTGTTATCGCTCCCCCGACAAGGGTCAAGTTCAGATGTTCGTGAACTTGGCGTCGACGCCAAGGACTTTTTCAGGGACGAGATCCGATTTCGTTCCAGAATGGCCACCAAGCTAGTAAAGCCGGAGTCGGCAGCGAGCGGGTCAGCTTCACTGCTGCAGCCTATCATGTATCATGCGTTTCATTGATTTATTTATTTATTTATGTTTTCAGGGAGAATTTCATTGCCGATAAAGACGGTAGCAAAGGTTGGTTAATTGTTGAGATTTAGGTGCCTGTATACCTATTTGTTGATAATCTAAAAAATTATATTCCCTTCATCTGCTGGATAATCACCCATAGCCGGTGAGAATAAGCCCAATCTCCCATGGTCAGTTAATTATTCCCGCGCTCTTTCAGATAAGAACAGTTACACCGAGCTTGTAGGTACTGGTGACTTCGGTATCGAGAGAATTAAAAGCATACTGTGCAGGATTGGAAAAGGACGCAGATTAATATCATGCTGCGCCCAAAACCAGTGGCAGCCAGGCCGGTACCGCGGACGGTGGACGGTGGACGGTGGACGGTGGACGGTGTGGCCCGTGCGGACAGGACACCTTGGTGACGCTCGGCAGCTGTTGAATGTTGAGAGCCTCTATCTGACGGCAGCCCACACAGATAAGAGATAGCTCTATCGTATGTACACTGCACCTGCCCGCCTCACCCCATCACCCCACCCTCCCCTTCAGTCTCTGTACCCCACGAAGGCCCCATGGAGGTAGTGTTCATCCGTCGACGCCTCCCTCCCTCCCCTCTCTCCCCCTCCACCCGCCTGCCACAGTCGGATCAGGCTCTGCACCTCCCCCCCTCCACCCACCTGCCACAGTCGGATCAGGCTCTGCACCTCCCCCCCCCCCCTCCTCCACCCACCTGCCACAGTCGGATCAGGCTCTGCACCTCCCCCCTCCACCCACCTGCCACAGTCGGATCAGGCTCTGCACCTCCCCCCTCCACCCACCTGCCACAGTCGGATCAGGCTCTGCACCTCCCCCCCCCTCCCCCCTCCTCCACCCACCTGCCACAGTCGGATCAGGCTCTGCACCTCCCCCCCCCTCCTCCACCCGCCTGCCACAGTCGGATCAGGCTCTGCACCTCCCCCCCCCCCCTCCTCCACCCACCTGCCACAGTCGGATCAGGCTCTGCACCTCCCCCCCCCCCCTCCTCCTCCACCCACCTGCCACAGTCGGATCAGGCTCTGCACCTCCCTCCCCCCTCTACCCACCTGCCACAGTCGGATCAGGCTCTGCACCTCCCCCCCCCCTCCTCCACCCACCTGCCACAGTCGGATCAGGCTCTGCACCTCCCCCCCCCCCCTCCTCCACCCACCTGCCACAGTCGGATCAGGCTCTGCACCTCCCCCCCCTCCTCCACCCACCTGCCACAGTCGGATCAGGTTCTGCACCTCCCTCCCCCTCTACCCACCTGCCACAGTCGGATCAGGCTCTGCACCTCCCTCCCCCCTCTACCCACCTGCCACAGTCGGATCAGGCTCTGCACCTCCCCCCCCCTCCACCCACCTGCCACAGTCGGATCAGGCTCTGCACCTCCCCCTCCACCCACCTGCCACAGTCGGATCAGGCTCTGCACCTCTCTGCTCCACCCACCTGCCACAGTCGGATCAGGCTCTGCACCTCTCTCCTCCACCCACCTGCCACAGTCGGATCAGGCTCTGCACCTCTCTCCTCCACCCACCTGCCACAGTCGGATCAGGCTCTGCACCTCCCCCCCCTTCTCCACCCACCTGCCACAGTCGGATCAGGCTCTGCACCTCCCTCCCCCCCCTCTACCCACCTGCCACAGTCGGATCAGGCTCTGCACCTCCCTCCCCCCTCTACCCACCTGCCACAGTCGGATCAGGCTCTGCACCTCCCCCCCCTCTACCCACCTGCCACAGTCGGATCAGGCTCTGCACCTCCCCCCCCTCCACCCACCTGCCACAGTCGGATCAGGCTCTGCACCTCCCCCCTCCACCCACCTGCCACAGTCGGATCAGGCTCTGCACCTCTCTCCTCCACCCACCTGCCACAGTCGGATCAGGCTCTGCACCTCCCCCCCTCCTCCACCCACCTGCCACAGTCGGATCAGGCTCTGCACCTCCCCCCCCCCTCTACCCACCTGCCACAGTCGGATCAGGCTCTGCACCCCCCCCCCCCCTCCTCCACCCACCTGCCACAGTCGGATCAGGCTCTGCACCTCTCTCCTCCACCCACCTGCCACAGTCGGATCAGGCTCTGCACCTCCTGCACGCGCACGGCCGACTCGTGGCGCCGTTTCATGTCGTCGATGTGGTCAGCCAGAGCGCGCATGGAGCGCAGAGCCTCGTCCGTGGCCGTGCGCTGCCACTCCGGTGACGCCGCGCTGTGCGTCCGCAGACTCTGTCGACGGGAGAGGTGGGTCACTCCTCTGGGGTCACTCGGGCACTGCAGGACGGATGGTCTGATTGTGAAAACGCTAAGTAAATAAAGCTAAGATGAGGCTTAGACATGAAGACTGACGCATCTGCAAATAAAATGATAATGCTTCAGTCACTTTCAAGCTTCGTTTGCATAAAGACGTCAGGACGATTCTTGTATTTCGTCCGAAGCACCAGCCACTCGAATAAAGTTCGAGAGTTGCTAACAACTGTTGTTTGTGCCAGTGCCCTGCGCAATAAACTTGTAAGTTAAACTGCCTTCCTGCTTGATCGCTTACCTACGAGGGGGTATCGGAAAGTTCTGATCATCACATAGAAGATGTAGACCGATTTTGATGATTTTTGGTTGGTATTATATTTGGTTCTTAAGAACAATGTTCCCGCAAAGAGAATCCTGAGAAGTGGTTTTATCTTATGTAGGAGAGACTTAGAAGTAAAAAAGATGAGTATTGGGCCCATTGAGGACCGAACCGTCATCCAACTAATGCATTTGAAACGGTATCACACTGAGAAAATACATCAAGAACGTGAAATCAGTTTATGGCGAGGAAAGCCCATCTCATGCACTCACCGAAAATGAAGAAATAATTTTCAACTTGGTTGCATGGCCCTTGGAGGGAGTCAAGAAGTGAGTGGCTACCAGTGACTGACAAGGTGGTGACTTTGAAGGAAGTGGAGGACCTCATCCTTACAGATCGTCGTGTGACCTTTCAGATGATTGTGCAACAGAAAGGTCTCAATGCTGGCAGTGCCTGAAAATATTATCAGCGAAGAACTACAGACGATAAAGGAGTCAGCTCGCTTAGAAGTTCGTGTGTCTACTTTGTTCAAGAGAAAAATGCGTCTTGGCCCTTCGAAATCAAAACTAGGCCTTTTTTAGGAAATTGAAGACATCTTCGATAATTTGATGACTTGTAACGAATGCTGGGTCTATGTGCATGATCCAGAGACAAAAAAATGATCAAGAAGTTTAAGCACGGCACATCTGTCCTTCTTAAAAGGCGAAGATGCAGAAGCCGATATGGAAGGTCAATGCTATCAGTGTTCTGGATCTGGCGTAGGATAGTCATTACCGACTGTCTTGATGATGGTCGGATAATGATAAGCAAGCACCACTGCACACTTTTGAAGAAGTTGCGAGATGGCCTCAAGCAGAATCGCCGCAAAAAAGCCCCAGAAAGATGTTTTATCCGCACCGACAGCGCTCCCGCCCATTCGTCCTGAGCTGCGATTGAAGGAAGAACATGATGTGGACATTAAATCCTACCGCATCTAAGAACTTCACCTGACCGGGTATTAACTGACTCTTGATTGTTACGGGAGATGAAGAATCCACAGTATGGCCGGTGATTTAAGGACAGAAATGACGTCATTGATGAGATGGAGCAGTGATTTACGGGACAGTGCGAAGGTCCTACAATGACCGCCTGAGGCAGCTCAAGAAACGATGCAATAAGTTTGCGGTCGTGTGTGGTGACTTGTAAAGGAGTAATGAACATCATGTAAAAAAAATCAAATTTCTATCACATCTCATTCGTGGTGATGATCAGAACTTTTCGATACCCCCTCGTATATGGAACGCACATTTTATGCATTCTTGCTAGATGCCTTTGGCAGATACTACATGCTACGCTATAATTTTCAGGGAAGTAAGGATTTCAGTAATTCATGTACGTAAACCTAATCAGATTAACGTCATTCAACCATTGAGCATCTTGAGGGAGAAGATAAAGTATCATTTAAAAATAAAACAGGTGCATAAAAACCGGCAGCCCCGATACAACTCTATCTCGAACTGGCCGAAGTGGTTGTCCCTGTGAGCGGGTTGTGTCCACGGTTCGTCGGAAGGTCATCTCAGGCTCAAAAGAAACGGTATATACTATTCGAAAGCTGACGGTGAGCTGAATCCAAAAATGTATTTTTTATCAAAATCGATCGATGGCCTTTTTTGAAAATTGCGTTTTCGTAAAAGCTTTATAATTTTTTAATCAACGGGCTGTCCCGGGCATTCTTGAAAAAATAAACATGTTTTTTCGAGTTCCAGTGAAAGCTGAACGCCAAAAGAACAATATTTAGTGAAGCAATATTCCCTAACATTAATATGCGTCTCCCACAGCCGACAATAAGGCGCAATCATGCAGCTCAGTGTCACGATGGACCAAAGTCAGCCACACAGAAGCGAGAAATGACCCTTAGCGACTCGCAGACCCGGCGCTCTCGGCCCGCCTGACCAGCCACGGAAAGAACGTTCGGCTCTCGTTCTACTAAACAAATGTCATATTTGTCAGTTTAACTGTCTACATCGCTATTAAAGTTATTCAGGATACCTGTGAAGAAAATTCATTGTTCTGCTTGATTTACAACATGCTTTAATTTACATTTTTCTTATACATGTTTTGTTCCATCCAGCTGCGCTCAGTGCCGGCGCAGGGGAAGTGAGCGGGGTATCACTGTCAGAGACTGTACTGGGGACAGCTGCTCGGTCGTGCGACCGGTCAAAGGTTACCCTGCCCCGCCGGGCGCTACCCCCACTCCACCCGAGCTGAGGTCGGTGCAACCTCTGACATTTCAGCGCGGCCAATTTTCCTTATATGGGCGTGATACCAAGCTCTATTGAGCAAAGTAGACATGAACAAATGCAAATTAATGCATGATGTGAAGATGACAGAGCAATTAATCTTCTGCTCATGTATCCTGCATAACTTAAGTACCGACTTGAATCGTTAAACTAACAAATATGACGCCCGTTTAGTAGAAAGACAGCCGAACCTCCTTGCCGTGGCCCGTCAGGCGAGCCGAGAGCGCCGGGTCTGCGAGTCGATAAGTGTCATTGCACGCTTCTGTGTGGCCGACTTTGGTCCATCGTGACACTGAGCTGTGTGATTGCGCCTTATTGTCGGCTGTGGGAGACGCATATTAATGTTTGGAAAAATTGCTTCGCTAAATATTGTTATTTTGGCGTTCAGCTTTCACTGGAACTCAAAAATACATGTTTATGTTTTCAAGAATGTCCGGGACAGCCCGTTGAATAAAAAATTATAAAGTTTTTACAAAACCGCAATTTTCAAAAAAGGCCATCGATCGATTTTGATAAAAAAATACATTTTTGGATTCAGCTCACCGTCAGCTTTCGAATGGTATATACATTTCTTTTGAGCCTGAGATGACCTTCCGACGAACCGTGTGTCAGCCGCGCTACCCCGAGGGTACCGGCTGTCTGCGGCCCGGCACTGCCGAACGGTGCGCGGCCCCGCCCCGAACCTCATCAGTAGTCAGCAGCCGTCCGAGGCCGATATCAATCTCGGAAAACGAGCCGGAGCGGCGCGAAACGGCGCTCTCCGTCCGACCAGACGCATTAGCTCGTCCAGAGACGACAGAATCACTCGCAATATCGCATGCGAGAACACCATGGTAGCTGGAGAAACCTAACGTGATTGGCATACAAACTGCTAGCTTGCTAAGACAAGGAAGACATAGGCCTAGCATTGAGTGGCATTGTAGCCGGGAGTCTATGTAAAACCGGGTTACCAAAACGACACTGAAGGTTGACTAGGAGAGAGGGATGCTATTTTTGTACGTTATTTTGCTATAATGTACTAAAAGACAGGGTTGTCTCGTAATGTTCATTGTTCACCAGTATTGGATAGTCTTGTGACCGGTTATCGTCTAGACATGTAGACTAGACTAGACTAGTCATTTAGTCATGTCATCTAGACATCTAGTCATGTCTTAAGACTTATACATGCACAACAAACGGATGAGGGGTGATGGGTGAGATTTTTACATGATATTTACCGTATTTTATTTGAATATATTGTCTCACGGCAGTCTAGCCCGCCGTTTGTCGTCCTGCGGGTCGGTCTAACCTGCCGCTCCTGTCGCCCTACCCGGCGGCGCGCCGGTCTGACCTGCCGCCCCTGTTGCCGTCCAGGCGCCGCGCGCCCCTCACCTGCAGCAGCAGGTGGTACTTGAGGATGCGCTGGACGGGTTTCAGCAGGTAGGATCCGAGCGGCAGAGTGTGGCCCAGAGCCTCCTGCCGGTCCCGCAGCAGGCGCGCCGTCTCCGTGCCGGAGCGCATCAGCTCCGTCAGCAGCGACATCGCCCTAAACGTCAGTGAGAGGACGGTAAGACACACCAGCGACATCGCCCTGAACGTCAGTGAGAGGACGGTAAGACACACCAGCGACATCGCCCTGCGCGGCGGTGAGAGGCCGGTCAGACAGATACACCGTCAGCAGTGACATAGCCCCGAACGCTAGTGAGTCCCCGCCGTCAGATAGACACACTACTAGCAGCTATATGGTCCTGCGCGTTAGATGAGTCTCCGGTTAGATACATCGCACGCCATCAGCAGAATGATGCGCGGACACGAGAATCAGCACGATTACAACCTCCTTCAAGGAGCAACACACATAGGTACCTATTCACTGTCACAGTCTCAGTTCTCGCACCCTGATCAGTGACGCGGCATTTCGAGCTCGAAAACAGAGCTACAGACTTCGGATATTCTGTTATTTACGCTCCGAACAGACAGACGGTCTCCGAACATGTGCCAATGCTCACGCTCCGAACAGAGTTACACTTTCGAGCAAAGCTAAGAGACTCCAAACGGAGACACAAGCAGGGTTGTATACCAATCAAGTCGATTGAATTGATTGATTTGTTTCAACGCGTATTTTGAGTTGATTGGATTGAGTCGATTGACTTTTCGAGATGACTGGTTGACTGACTCGTTTGACTTTAGCGACTGGTTGACTGATTTGATTCCCGAAAATTAGAGTGACTCGTATGATTGAGTCGATTGAATGGAAAGTTCAAATAAGTTTTAGTTGACGAAAAATAATGACACCAATTGATGACATCAGAGATCACAAAACTACACTGAAAACTGCTTGTCATCACAACTGCAATATGGGGTAGATGGCCAAATAAAGAACAGGGCCTAAACATGAACAGCCAACTTTGACTTTCAACTGCAAGAACTGCTCCAATCCTGGTGATAGAGCCTGGCGATGCACCTACCTACCTTTCTGCACTCAGCAGGAAACGTTTTTTTATCCAGATGATAAAGTGCAAGGCCCTATATACAAGGCCCCTATGTACTAATAAAGTGTGATTAATTAATAGTTCACATCTCCACATCTCCTCAGAAACAACCCACTGAACTCTATAAATATCTGAAACCCCTGCAAATATAACTGAAACAAAAGCGCCGTTTTCGTCTCGCTAATTACGTTTACGTGCCTAATTAATAGCTAATTTGCTGCATTGTTTAATTTGCAGCAGAACGTTTGTTGATCCTTTTCTCCTGAGAGCCTAAGCATAACATATCTAATATATTTCATTTTCCTTAAAATATTTTACCGAATATTATTAAGTGGTTTTATTTCAAATGAAATAATAATTAAAACGAAATTGGTGTTGTACAACCGATTTATTTTATGATGATCTACCATACTACATGATAATCAATGACGTCATCTTACCAAAAAATCAAAAGACGTAGAATAAGGATTTATAAAAGCTTAGCATACTTATTGGCAAAACGTTTTCTATGTTTCGCAGTCGCACCGTGTCGTTTTCGCGTTTTAATTTTCCTGGTTCCTAATTCCTTTGTCCTTAACTTATCCTGTGGTTCCAGAGTCCCTGTCCTCTCCATTTCCTTTTAAATATATTTTTAATCCTCATCCCTATCCCCCAGTCCTAACAGTTTCAAATTGTATTGCAATAAAATGTTTTGAATTCTTCACATAGGTACCTAACATTGACATGCCACGTCCAGAGTCGTGGACCGCTAAATACTTCAAATCTCTTCCTTCCCAATCTGACAACATCCCACGTCTCAAATGCACATTGTGTGGACAGATTTTTCAGGCTGCCCGTCAGTCTCTGTCTAACCGAAACCGTCACATGCAGGTAAGATATTTATTTCTATTTCCCTATGGTTAATATGTTATTGATGCATATTATCCATTAAAATAGACATGGTGTTGGGTAAATGGCCAAATCACGAACACTGCCAAAATCCGAGCAGCCAATTTTCAACTGCAATATCTGATATTTAGTGTAAATGGAGTTGGAATATGGCCCAAATTAAATTGACAACTTTTAGGTGAAAGGTGGTGATTTGGGTTAAGGGGCGAGTCAACTACTGGGTTATTTTGCACCCATTAAATGAAACTTCTGCTCCAATTCTACCCATTGAACCTCAATATCATGATCCACCTGTCCATCACTAGGTATCCTTCCTTATTACATAGAAACTTTGAATGGCATGGCAATTTATAATTTTAAATGGCAATATTTTTATGTTTCTTCTGTAGGTAGGTAGGCGGGTAGGTACCCCAGACTGCTATGGACACTTTTCCAAGTTGGTGGGGCAAAAAACCTGATGTATGTCTTGGTTTGAGTCGTTTGATTGAGTTGATTGATTCCTTTCATTGTCGCGTTTGAATCGATTGAATCAATTCCCGAAAACTGCTCTGACTTGATTGATTTGATTGGTTTCCCAAATTTGTCGTGATTGAATTGATTGCTATTGATTGAGTCGTATACAACCCTGGACACAAGCTCTGCCAGAATAGCACACTCGCTGTAGAGCAGCCTAGGCGGGGCCCCGCCTAGGCTGCTCTACAGCGGCCCGACGGCTGTCAAATGCCATCCGTTCAATACTTCAATTAGTGATGTCAATTTCAGAAATTTTGGAAACCAATACCAAACCGATACCGACCAAAACTACTGAGAGCATACCAAAACCGAACCGATTTGCAGAAATAGGGTGAAATACCGACTAGGTACCGAATTCAGGGAATCATCAAACAAATGCTTCAAACTTTTTCAAAAACAAATAATAAGCACTGAAAGGTAATACTTTAAAATGAGGCAACCAAAACAAGTCAGGAAATCTCTAAATTATTTGCACTGCAAAAAATATAACTGTATTGTGCAACTATGAACAAATATTCAGGTCAGTAATTTAACTGGGATGTGGATTCAAGTCATCTGCATGAGGTGATATAGGACAAGCACTTGAACCCTGAATCTCATCCATGCCTGAACCATCAAACCAGTCGGTGACACTCCAGGGAAATAAGCTAAAATTAGAGCACTCTATTTATTGCTCCCGCTACTTCACCGTCTCCCATAGGGTCCTGTGTTGAGCTGGTGTCGAGGCTCTAAAAATGACGCCGATTTTTGCACCCTTCTCACAAAAACCGCTCGGACCGCCTGGAAACTAATTGTTCCGCTCTAAAAATTTCATGATCGACGGGAAAATGAATGAGGAAAAGATTGGTCCTGAAATAATTCTGAACTCCCTGTAGAACATATCGAAATATGGCTGCAAACTAGGAGCATGTCAAAATCGACAAAACAATACAAATAAACTTACCGGGATTTTTTTATTTTCCATGCATCTGTGTATGAAATCAGTCGGTTTTTCGGAAAGATCATCTTCTGTTTAATAAATAATTCCACAATTGCAATCGAGAAAAAAAACATTTCCGCTGTGACAGCAGTTTTGGCATTGTGCCAGTAGTGTGGCGTGCGCGGTGCTGCGTGGTCGTCGGGACGGAGTTGTGAGTATTTTCGGTGTTTTAAATGGTTGATGGCCATTTGAACCAGCTTTATATTATTTCCTACAAATTTTTGCATCAAATTATTGCTTTGAAAGACCATTGAAACCCCTTATCTCTTCATGAAACACGATCATATTCATCGTCGACGAACATGGCGCGGGACTCCATGTGCATTCCGATCGAAATAAATCGTAAATTAAATAATATTCGATGATAAGTATCATATTCTAGTGACACATTTTCATAAAATAAGGCATAAACTTTGCAAGGAAGTCAACATTGGATAATTGGATTCTTATTTAGCTCACATATCCTTGTAGTAGTCAAATGGCTCAATTGATAGATTAATGTAAGTATATGTTTTGGCTTGATGTTTGCTGTGAAACCACCCAGCCACTTGCTGGTTGAGTGGTTTTCTGATAATTACCTGATAATCATTTCTCCTTTTCCTTAAAAGAAACTGAAATTCCTTTCAAAGTAATCCATTTTTAGGAAGGGCGGCTTGCTCATTGACATTTCATGTTCTTGTTTTGTTATTGCTGGCAGTATTTTGATACAATAATGCAATATGAATTTCTTGCAATAATAAAACCTAAGACAAACTTAGTTAATGCATCAATCGAACACCCAACAGAAAGATTGTGAGTCCTTGTGACGTGAAGTAGAATATTCTATGAATGTGTTATATAGAATATGCCAAATATTAAATTAGTTATTATTTGATACTGATAGCTGAGCATGTGAATTATGCCACAATATAATTTCATTTTCTGGTTTTGAAATAGCCGGCAGTATTTTACTTCAACAAATGTAATATACATGGAATACATGTTGTTATGTTATGTTAAAAGTTTAATAACAGCCAACAGAAGGGCTGTTTCAGCAGATAATGTTTGTACCTTATGCATTACCTTTCTTTTCTGCAGGACCATGCTTCCGCTGGGTGGTCGACATTTGCCTCCTGAAGAAGTTGAGCAACATGAAGACCACCAGATGAGGTGTCTGCAGTTCATGTGGAACTCTGCAGACTACAAGTGTTATGCCAACCACAACCAAAGTGCTGTGATCATGGAGGCATGAACCTCATGACAACACTTCATATTTGCAGTTGAACCAAAGTGTGATTCAAACCACCTGCGGCATCTCACTCAATGTGTGAACAGTGTGATTATTGTGCAGTGTTCAGCTGCAACTAAGACATTTATTAGTGACTTGTCTTGCAATTAGCCACCAAAAGCATTTTTTGGGCTGGCTGCTGTAATTTGTTGTGCACTGCGCAATAGTGGTAGTGTTTTGTCACTTGTCAAGTTGTCAGTTGTGCATGTTGCATGTTTCTCTTCCCTCGGCCCTCATTATCAGTTAAGTGGTGAATTGGCATCACTCAGTCTCCCCAGATCTCCATTGACTGTCTGTCAACCACCTAACTTGAGATGGTATTTGCTAATAGTGTCAGAAAAGAAGTGATTGTAGACATTTTTAGGAATATGAGCTCCGTTTCATGCGTGTTCCAGTGGTCATTTTGTCAC